GTGCAATTAGAGTTGGACAAATAAAACTGTTAATCTTAACGACCTTACTACTAAAATTTAGGCTACAATATTAATCCATCTTTGAAATTCACAAGTTTCTTATACTAATGTAGGATAATCAAAACAGTATTTATGTTAACAGACTCGCGATTCACCCCCAGTCATTGTATTAATGAGTTATTAACTTCTAAAATGTTGGTACAAAAGTTGTTATCGAACTGTCATTTTCTTAAAAATAATAGTGGCTAGTTAGTAAGTTTGTTAATTATGTGTATTTATATTAAAATAAAATTTTTTAGCACAGTAGGGGCTTGATATAGTTGGGACAAGTATAGAGGATATCTATCAGGGATTAAAATCACTATCATAAGACTCGTTTCCATTTAAATCTGTACGTAGTATATAATTATATATATATATAAAATGGTGGATTATTCCAAAATAATATCAAATCCTATTCTCTTAATTATATTCTGATTAGTAGTTTAAGTAGGTAATTTACAGTAATTAAATTTAGAATTTATTAATTTCTTGATTTTTAATGTTTCTTAAACCTCCTGATAAATCTTCTGTGACTGAACATCTAATGACATATAAACACTCCATTAAAACCCTAAAATTAATTTAAAATGTATATAACTATAAGTTGAGATTTGAGATAAAAATAATCGAAATTTATTTTGTGTATATGCTTTTGATATGTTAGGCGGCCATAAAGAATACTGAAGAGTGTGATAATTACCTAAGCCAAAAAGCGCGTTAGGAAATTTTGCTGAAATCGTTAATTTTATTTAAATTTTATTTGATCATTATTTCAAAAAAATGATATGAAATATTGCTATTTAATTCTCAAAATATAAACCGTTGAACTGCCTATAAAGCTTGTAATTCGTTACTTAGTATTTAAAGTACTAAATATGGTTTTATTCACAACAGAATAAAAAAGAATTTTTCTCATTATGATTCATAATGGTCACAAAAAAAGTCTTTTTATTTCGCTTAGTAATATTATGAGTCAGTTTGCCAGAAATTTCTGAAAAAGAGAACTATAGTTCTCAATAATTCAATTTTAGATACTTAAATTTAAATTTATTAATAACAACACTATAAATGTATTTAATAAAGAAACCTTTCCAAATTTTCTTCTATATTAAGTTTGTGTTCCCTATGTGTTACTTTTCAAGTTTTCTTTTCCTTTTTTTCGCTTACTTAGAGATCCTTCAGGCTAAATTTCAAAATCAACGGGCTATTCACCGTAATTTTTTACTGTCTAAAAGTGTATTCGTGTTTACAGCTATCAAAAATGTTTTCATCTATTGCAGACATCAACATCATATCGTATCTATAATCATATATACCAAACCTTTTACATTTCGTCAAGTTAACCGTAAGGCCAGTCGACAAGAACATGGACATTTTATAATTAGACGCCTAGGGAAGTTTTAGATGTGACAGCCAAATCCTTAGACCTGGATCTGTGCCAGGATATATTGTGCGAATTTGGCGTGGACACAAACCGCCTTTGTGCGTCCTCGACGCACGCTTTTCTCTTTAAATATTGTGCACAACAGTTTTATACCCCCCTCGTCATTTATCCATGTATATATTAAACATACCTCTTGTTCTAGCCTTGGTGTGTAACTCTGTCTTCGGAAGGTATCTAGATGTACTTCGCATTAGATTAAAGAGCGTACGTGTGTTTTTGTCTCTTTGTTTCAAAATACAAAGTACCGAAAGTTCCGTGACCCAACGGTGTACTATAAATATAAATACGACAGACAAGTGATATTAATCAGATGTACTCATCCGTACCTCATTGAACAAACGCAATACTCTTTCTTTTATATTTCCATGAGATTACTTAGATTCCTCATCTATGTTTCCTTTGAGTCGCTCACTTCCAATGTCCCAGTACTATTATAACATGAGAAAATCGGCCGTTTTAGAATTAATTAGAAAGTCAGCATCACAGAGCTGATTTTTGTTCTCGACAGTAATGCGGGTAAAATACATTTACATTCGAAAATAATCGTTAAAAAAAAAGTGTTCAACTGACCATATTGTGTCTGGTTAGGGTTCACTGCTACAATAAAAGTGCTTAGAATGATGGAGAATTTTGTTTAGCGAAATATTAGTTGACAGAAGTCAAAGGTTTTGGTTTTAAACAAACTGAAAATTCTGTTTAAAGAAGTCAATGTAAAGAAGGTGGTTATTTATTTTGTTCGGACGCTTTTGAATAATAAAAAGTCAAGATCACTACATTTTATATTATTTGAGTATAAAAGAAAAATTATCGATAAATGAACTTGGTGCAATTTAGTTGGAACTNATCGATAAATGAACTTGGTGCAATTTAGTTGGAACTATAAAATTAATTTTTTAAGTTCTTTTAGATAGTTAACTAATATTTATGTCAATGAAAACGGAAAAAGTTCTTCTGGAAAAATGTCTGTGAACTAAATCGAATCTCAATATTTGTACTTAGAGCAATATTTATCCTAACCGAGTCTAATGGTTTATTAGTTTTCTTATTAGTAATAAGTTAGTTTTTTTATTTTTCATTTCTATAAATCACCAGTGTACTTTTATCTAGATAGTCTTGGTGGAGTTATTTTCATAAAAATAATTTTCTAAAGGCCATATGAAGAATGTTCATATTCATTATGACATTCCCTAAAACCTAGTGAAGTAATTTATCTACGTGGAAAAATTCGGTTAGTAAATAAATTTCCGCGATGTACGTATTATCATTACACGTGTCATTTGGTGGAAGTTATCGGTTTTTTACTTGTAGTGTTAGGATTCTAGTATATAGATTCATTAACTTAGACGGTTCATTGTCTAAATGAATAATACAATAATAAATAGCGATAGTCATTTTGTTACAACGTATTTCTTTTGACCACTCCTTTACTGTGAAATATAATTGTAAGCATATGACTTTTCCCCAAATGTATATAATCACAGGTATTTTTACACTTTGTTAGTTATTTGTATACGCGTACATATAGTCTATGCAAAGTTATGTTATTTTTTAGTCAGTTATTTAATATAGGTCTTCAATCAGTAGGCGAAAAACGTTCTAGACTTAGTGGGGCGCTCTGTTATAGGATTAACTCGACAATGAGACACTGCAGTTTTCTTATTAAAAACTCTGTTCAATTAGGCTGAACTTAATGTAGAAAACATCCTTTCCATCATCCCTTCTACTACACGCTGTCAGTCCTACCACATCCTAGCTTTCACTATTTTTTTTTTTGTTTTTCATTCTTCTTTTCCGACGCGTTTAATTGTGCGTAAAACGTGTAATGGTATCTTGGGTCTGTGTAGAAGGCGGTGACGGCCTAGTCACTAGTGGGCTGATAATGAGAAACAGTCGCTGTTGGGAAATAAATGCGACGACCTGTACCCATACAAGTCAAGGAAAAAGTAACTTAACGGCTTTAGTCCAAAAAAAAAATTCGATTCCTCTGAATACATCAAACCAAACACTAGTGTTTTCTCTAAGGATTTGGAAAACAAAAACTAAGTAGATTATTGTATGGTAAAAAACTCGTAGCATTGTAAGAATATTGAAATTTTAATTAAAAATAATGCAAAAATCTGTTTCCAATATTTTAATTCTTCAGTAGTGAGAGATTTTCATGATTGTTTTGAATTAAGTAGAACGATTTTTTGAAAAACACTTATTTAATGTATTTTATTTTATGGTTTTTGTAAAGAAATTAGCTATTGTTCTGGTCCATAAAACAAAAAGTTAATTTAGATGTTATTATTTATTATTATTGGTAATATTGGTTCTAAAAAAATAATATGTAGAAGAAGAACCTTACAATAAAATATAAAACTTGGCAATATAGAGCGGATGTTGTAATTTCCTGGAAAACTATGCATTTTTTTTTTTTATTGTAACTTGATAAATTCCACTATATTTTTATTAATAGAACTTAAGTAATTGTTTATTTGGCCAGTAAAATGAAAAATAAATAAATTTGGCAACATTAAAAAAAAGTTATAATAATCTAGAAACTGAAATTTAGTATCTCAATTACTATATCTCGATGTGCTGTAATCGCTTTATTAAAATTAAGAAATGTTCAAGTTCTTTTAAATATTTTAACTTATATTTTTCAAACAATTATGGTTACTAATAGGCACGTTATTTAGTGAATACATTTTAAGCTAGACAAATTTGAACTTTTGCATATGCATTCATCAAGACATACTTAATTAGTCACGCACTGAACCATCCATGGAAGTTTTACTTAAAAGTATTAAACTTCGCTAGAGTTGATCTAAATAAATTTATTGCATTCATGTGCATAAAATATAATTTTATAGTTCTACGATTGATCTATAATAAATATAATAAGACGATTTTGAACTATAGCCAATGTAGGATTTGGTAAAGACATGTACACTCATAACAAAAAGAATTTTTCCTCTGAGATTGTAAAAGTTATGTTTTTGATATTTTACAACACTTTTCTAACAAGTAGTTGAACTTAATGAGCAAAACGTATTTTTATCTCCATTCTACATACTAGAAGCAAATATAATTTTTATTTTATCGTATTTAATGCTTTAGAAATGTAACGTCATTAAATCAAGTAATTTTCATAATTGTTTTTATTTTTGTTTCGTGTGTTAGAATTTATCTAATTATTCCAATTATCAAATTAAGTGTTTTGGCATAATTTTTTATACTAAAAGAACATACCATTATTATTAGAAATATAATACGACGACATCATAATAATCACTAGGACTTGGTTTTCGGTAGTCATTGACAAGTATAAAAACACATATCGCGTTTTAGGCACAGTGTTACATTATACCACTACAGGGTATTGTTTGGACATTAATAGTAACGCTGTGCTCTAACAACAAAGATATTGCATTACTATATTACTGACAATAGACAACAACGGACGAGTAAGTATGACTGAGTTATGGATATCGGATCGTACGCTGGTAATTTATTTTTAAAGCTAACTTACCTAGGTGATTTTCAAAAGATCCATCGTAACCGTGATCTAGCGCGTTTCCAGCTCCGACGAGCCGAAAGTAACGCGAACACTGAACTCGATCATTACCGTTAAACACCTCTCTGTAGCAGTCGGACGCGATTTTTGGCTAATTCTTTGAACGGCCGTGCTATTTGTATCCCGACATCATTGGCAGATATCCACTTTTGACGCGCGTAACCAAATTCACCGCTACCCTTTCGCTGTCGCCAAACGTCAGGTATACTTACAGTATGTATCTATTGTTTTATGTGCTACAATAATAACAATAGTAGCTGTTGTTATGCGTGAAAAATCAAGACGAATTTAAACATTTTCGTCAAAATTATTATTTGGTAAGGAAACCCGTTGTTCAAATTTCTGTCATCATTAGCTGCTAAAAATGTATTTTCATAACTTCATAATCATACGACAGCTGTTGTTTTGTTTCATTTTATCGAGTATTTATGTTTTATAAATTCGGAATATTTAATGTTTACAAGTTAAATAAAGAAAATGAGACTGGAATGAATTTAATCAAAATGATAAATAGATGAAGTCTATAACTCTGACATATTTTTAGCAAATTTATATAGTTTATGGGACTGAGAAGGAAATAATTTTCCTTAGTGCTATAGGTTTGTGCGGCTTGCAATATCCATTGTTTTTCTGAATTGTAGTCAATGCCATTCCATCCAGAGTAATATCGCAGGTTTTTTCACTTTATATTACATAGATAAAGTTGTAAATGCCACAAGTTTACAGGTCTTGATAAAAATCTTTTTCTCGGTGCACATCTTTTTTCTCATCAATATCATTTTATTGTTGAGAAAAGAGATTTGCGCTCAATCTAATAAAATATACACCATTTTATTGTTACTTAAATATTCAGACACTCGAATGAGACAATTTACGTTAAATTTTAAAATCTTTCTTGGTTATAAATTTTTGACAAAAATAAATAAAATATCGATTGATAATAAATTGCAATTCATAAATAATTAATACACTAAAAAGTGCCTTAGGCTAAAATGCACTTCGGCTATCGATTGTTAGGCTTTATGAATGGATGACAGTTTATTAGTTATAAGACATTTTTGATTTCCCATAAATTCCATAATAATTTTCTTAACAAAATTTAAACACTAACATAAAAATATATTTTTCGTAAGAAATAGAACATATAAATTAGGTTGTAATATGTGTAATCTACACACGATTGATTTTTATTTATTGTGTCGTGGCTTCTAATTGAATTAAAATAATTTATCTTCCTTACATTGTCAATACTAACATTATTACGCATTACGCCTTGCTTATACAATGCCTCTTGACTGATAGTATTACGAAATTGGATCGAAATAAAAAAAATAATCGCAAAATACGGGACTCGTTTTTTATATTGTTGGAATGGAAAATCCGGATACGGTTCCACTAAGATACTTCTAAATTGTGTTTATATTTATCACAAAATATGCTAAGCATTCAACAAAAAAAAGAAATAAAATTCATCTATGTTAAATTCTATCAATGTTTTTCAGGAACTTCCTCAGGCGCATATAATTAAATTAAAAATAAAGTTTTTTTTTAACATAAAATTTTATATTAACTGAGTAGGTGAACTCTTAAAATTATGTAATCACTACTATTTGATATTTATTTTGATTATACTTTTTTTGTATTGTCTAATATGTGCGTATTAGGTATTTATATTTATTTATAACGTATTTTTGATATTTTATTATTAAAAATAAATAAATGTTATATAATTTGTTTATATGTGATAAAATTATAGTAGTTGAAATAATATAAATAACAAAATAAGAGATGAAAACATTTTGTATAATGAACCCGAAAAAACATATCAAAAAATTACACGGTGAGAACGATGCCAAAATTATGAAGCTATTTGGAGATTTTAAAATTAAAAATTACTCATCTTAAAAATACAAGTTTTCCTAAATAAATATTAATATAAATAGAATAGGAGATAGATACTTTTTATAAACATAAAAAAATTATTTTATATTCCATAGTCATATAATGTGTATCAATGTTAAGTAAAAAATATTTTTTCAGTCACATTATAGTATAATATAATCTATTACCAGAGAAAAAAGATTCCTCTATTTGAATAATTACAAAGTTAATAGAAAATTAATTTTATTAAACCATTAAACAATAGTCTTATGAGATGAATACTTACGTGAATAACTTAGAAAGCGTTGCTTATTAAGATTATTTTATGAACAAGGCTAGTCGGAGGCAAAAGCTAAGTAGAAGAACGTTAAAAAATATTCAAGAAATCTCATCCAGAAAGAAATTAAAAATAACTTTTGTAATAATTCTTGTACATGTCGTCGCATTTTAATGAATTAAAATAAAACCAAAGATGTTGTTAATATGATGCAAATATTGACTATATTAAATGTACTAAACCAAAAGTAAAATATGAACTATAATAGGTATATGGTACATGTATAATTAATATAAATATAATATTTAGAATTCATAAAATTTTAAACTACTTATTAGTTAACTTTTATGATACCAAATCGTTGCTTAATATGTTTCCTTATTTAAACCAACAATAAATAGAAAAAAATGTTATGTTTAAAAAAAACATTAAGTTAAATAAATGACCACGTGTGTATAAATTCACGTACATGTATAAAACACACTTGGCCATTTTCTTTATGCTGTTACGTTAATGAATGGCATTTAGACAAAGCCTTTGTACAATTACATTTATGCGATATTTCTTTTGAATACAAAACTGCTTTATAATTACGCGTTTAAAATGACACTTTTTTTGTTTTTAAGAATTTCTATGCCATAAGATATTTAATGCAAAACATTTTATTTTACTATATCCAATTATCAGGTACAATAAATTAACGTTACTAAACTAATTTGCAAAGGTATTTCAATATTAGACTTTTATTAAACTCAAGTTTTAAGTTATTATATTGTTTAAGCCTAAAATGAATTTAAAATAATATTAAATAAAAAGAACAAATATATATATAAAATTTTTTTTTCTAAAATATGTTATTTAACATAAAAATAACTTTATAAGGTATTGATCAACCGTTATCTGTATTTTTAAAATGGACTTAAATATTGAATTTCTGGACGAACAAAAAGAAATATGATATTTAATCGACAGAGGAGGGTGACATAACTTTAATAAATCATCATCCTCATACATAGTGGTCAGTGAAGCTTTAAACAAAGATAGAAAATGATTATTAATGATCATTGCAAATCTTCTAGTTATTATTGCGATTAGATTTACAAAAAAAAAAAAGTAATGGAAAAATAAAAATAATTGATCAGTTTTAAATCCTTCTATTTCCTTAACTTAATATGCTACAGAGGGCGATAGTTCTCTTTTACATATTAGGGAGTCAAAAATAGTTCTTTGCTAAGTGAATGATGGACGGAATGGGGATTATTATCGGCTTACACCAGAGACCAGACAACACCAACGACAAAATCGCAAGAAAAAAATCGTTAGCACCCTGGGGATCGAAGCCGTGCCCCGTGCGTCCAAACACGTTATTTCCCACTGTCAGGCCGACCCCTTATAAAAAAGTAATGATAAGTAAAAAGAATTCTTTTATAAAAAAGGCGAAAGATTTATTCGTATTGAGAGGGAGCCGGAGTTAATCTTTTTATAAAAGTTTAACTTAATATAAATAACGTTTGAAAAAATCAAGTTTCGTTGTTCAAAAACTCTAAGTTAAAATTTCTAAATTTTTTTTTTTCACGATTTTATTTATAATTATAATTTATTGTTTTATTATTTCACTATTTGGGTGGTTAACGTAGATCATTCGATAATTCCTAGTTAGTAATAATAACTTATTTTATATTATTTAGTACATTTTTAAAATTATAATTTTATGACACCTTCAAATATCCGTTATATTTTGAAATCCTAAAATGGATACGACTAAAACTTTTCAGAGTTCCACTTGAGAGCTAATAGTAACTAGTACATTTGAATCCCACTGAGTAATTGAGTTTAATATTTCCATTATGCTATGTCGAGGCCTTGTGTAATATATTAATGAAGTTCCTTTGAAATTTGTTTATTTTTTATTAAGTAATAGCACAGATAATAAAAAATACACAAATTCGGTTTATTAAATAAAGCATTTGTAATTTACTAATTTTCTCGTAAGTTTACATTAAAGGGATTGCTTAAAATATTTTTAAAAGATTATAAAAACTTATAATCCAATATTTTAAGTAAATAATAAAAAAAAAACTTGGTAAATTATCCTAAATAATTAATGAATGAGGAATAAGTAAGAGTTTTTTAACAATTCGGTTTGCAATTTTTTTTTTGTTAAAATCTGATTTATCTTCCTAGTTACTATTCAACCAATGCCTGTTACGGCTATTTTAAAAAGTTTATGCATAATTAATTAGCTAATTAAGGTTATTATCCATTCGACTGAATACCTTGTAGTTCTATTATTAAAAATTGGAATTAAACTATAAAAATTGTGCAAATTCCTTTTATCATGACATTGTCTAGTTAGGGTAATCTAATCAATATTGAAATGTAGTGTCGTTATCAGATTCGGAATAAAAATTTGTATAAAAATCATTCAGAAGGGCTTGTTTTTGGATTTTTAAGAAATCAATAGAGTCCTCAAAGGAGTTCAGGTTTGAAACTCCTAAAACGAAAATAATTACATGTTAAAAGTTCGGAGATTGGTATGAAAATTTTTCTAATGTATGACTTCTCCCTTCCCCTAAGAAAAAACTCTGACCACATAGTTATAATCTACTTTAAATCAGTACAATATTAAATGTATGTTGAAATAAATTTCAAAAATTTGTGTAACAAGCTTGACAAATTAATTAATTAGGTATCATAAAAGCGTGACGAGTTATTTTAACACATGATAATTTTAGATAATAAAAGTTTAAATTTTAGTAACAGGAGCCCATGAGAGTAATCAACAAAAGACATCATTATTCAGTCAGTATTATCATCTAATCGAATTAAGTAGGTAGCCACATGGAAATTGATAGCGAGACGTTGGACACCTATTCGAAACATGTGAACACGTGCAGACTAATGCATGCACATAAGTCGTTATAAATTCCTGGTACTCATATTT